CTTCCTCCCTCATTCGTATCTGATGATAGCCTGACTTGAGGTCAAGTTTGGAAAAGATGCGGGAACCTCCTAATTCATCCAATAACTCCTCAATAACAGGGATTGGGAATTTGTTGGGGACTATAAGTTTGTTGAGGGCCCTGTAATCCACACACACTCTCCAGCTACCGTCCTTCTTCCTTACCAAAATGACTGGGCACGAAAAAGGACTGATACTAGGACGTATCATGCCTGCATTGAGTAATTCAGACACCAAGGATTCAATCAATGATTTCTGATAATGAGGGTACCTGTAAGGCCGTATGTTAGGCACTCCACTACCAGGTTTCAGCTCAATGGCATGGTCTTGACGTCTGTGGGGAGGCAACCCTTGTAGTTGTTGGAAGACATCGTCAAACTCAGCCAACAATAAAGACAGGGCTCCCCAATCATTCGGTACTGCAGCCCCATCACCCTGAATCCAGTGAGGCTCCACTACATATCCTTGTCCCTCATCCCTCATTGTTTTCAGCATTGAACGAAAAGAAGTCAATGCCCCCTTTCTAGACAGTGAAGGATCTCCACGAAGTATCACGTCACTCCCCTCTGTCTGAAACTTCAAAGTCAACTTGTTGAAGTCAGCCGTAATTTCCCCCAATCCCCTCAGCCACTCCATTCTTAGGATGACCTCAGCTCCACCCAAATCAAAGACGAACAAGTCCTGCTTTGTCAATAGCCCTTGGATGCGTAACTCAATCTGACGACACACCCCTTGGCTTTCCACCTTGTGACCATTTCCCAAGACAACCTTAAAATTGTAGGAGTCTTCGATGGGCAACTTCAACCTCTCCGCGACTTGCCGATTGACGAAATTGTGAGTGGCACCACTGTCTAACAACATCGTCACCTTCTCCCCCATCATCGACCCCCATAACTGCATGCTTTGGTTCGAAGAGAGCCCTAAGACACTGTAGATCGACAGCTACAAGGTCTCTGTAGCGACGGGTCCCTCCTCATCCTCTCGCGTCTCACCGTGTGTGGGTATGTCCTCCCCATTCGTGCCATCATCCTCTTCAATGACTAAGAGTTGTAAATGGGCATTTTGACAACATTGTTTGCGATCCCACCGCTCCCCGCACTTGAAACAAAGACCCTTACGGCTACGATCATGCAACTCAGCTTGACTGAGTCTCCCTCCTCCTCCGATGCTATTGCTTCTAGAAGCTTCGAGCATTCTGGAGTCTCCCACTGTCCCTGCGTTCGCAACACGCGTAGGATTATTTGGTGCAGAACGCGAGTCGTTTTGGTTTGTGGCAGCAGCACGTGTGTCGGTGGGTGTACTTTGAGTAACATTATTATATGGACCCTTTGGCTGTGGTCCATTAGTAAACACGGTATTGGGCTGATTGGAACGGCCCATTCCCTTTCCTCGACCAACCCACGAAAAACCCAGCCCATCCGTAGCCCAAGAAGCGTTCCTTCGTTCTAAACTCATCGTCTTCCTCATCATGTCTGCTAATGAGTCCAGATTACTTTGAATTAACTCAGTGCGCAAGCTATGGCAGATGTCATGCAACCAAATCTCCTTGAGCATAACTTCATCAGCGTAGTGAATTGGACCAATTATCCTTTCAAATTCAGCCCCGTAGTCAGCAACACTTCATGTTTGCTTTAGACTAATGAGCTCTTAGTATGGACTTCCGGTCAACTCCAGCTGGAATCGATCCATCACATCAGTGCGAAAATCCTCCCAGGGAGCGTTTGGATTACTACGCTCCCACACAAAAAACCAGTTGAGAGCAGGTCCATCCAAGACGATCATGGCTGCATCCACCTTCAACCGGTCCGTGATCTCATTGACCCAGAAATAACGCTCGATCCTGCTAACCCATGCGAACACATCATCACCACTAAACCGTGGAGGTTCCAAACGCGGTTGTTGTGCGTTTCCCCCTGCATGTCTCCCTGCAAATGGATTTCGCGCTTCCGATTCGGTGCTCCGTCGACGGGAACGACCGCGGCGAGGACTGACTTCTCTGTTGGTCCTGTCTCGATTGCGCGGGTTGCGTTGTTACAAAGCTAAAATGTCATTTAGTTATTGTTCGTTCCGATCGTGCCTTTCCTCTGCTAATGCCTCAATCCGCCGTAAACGTTCTTCAACCACTTCCAAACGAGTGTCCATATTTCTGGTGATAACCATTCAAAGCACCCCAAGATCGGAGTGCTCTGATACCAGTTGATAAGTCTGGCAATTAAATCAGAGAAATAAACGCAGCAACAGGGATTTTTGGCCCAGAATTCTGGATTTTCTTCTATTTATATAAACTGAACAAAATCCTATTACAACTAGCTTCAAAGGAAAACTGCAATAACAGAGAACAAACTACAAAATTATAACAGAAGTTTCAGTGCAATTAAGAGGCACTGATCTCTCCCAAGAACTCCCAAAATGCCAGCCTCCCTTCTCCTTGCATCGTTGCTGTTTATATATCAGTCTTGGGTCCACCTTCCTCCACCTGCCACATCAGCCACACGTATGGCCTCAACAAACGTTACCCAACAACATTCTCACGTCCCATAACAGAATTCCCTTCAACCATTTTATGCATCCCTCTCTCCTCTGAGTCATCAATAAGGTTTACTCCTCTCCAACGCTTCCTACCATACACCTTCAAAGGATTCTTATCAGAGCATTACAGTATGCTACATTAACAAGACCTGAAATTGCATTTAGTGTGAATAAAGTCTGTCAATTTTTATCCCAGCCACTTGAGGAACATTGGAAAATTGTTAAACGCATTTTGAGGTATCTCAATGGCACTTTATCCTATGGTCTGGTTTTTCATCCACCTTCATCACAGCACCCTCTTTCACTTGTGGCATTCTGTGATGCTGATTGGGGTTCAGATCCGGATGATAGAAGATCAACCTCTGGAGCTTGTGTGTTTTTAGGCTCAAATCTAATCTCCTGGTGGGCCAAGAAGCAGTCCCTAGTGGCACGTTCAAGTGGTGAAGCTGAGTATTGAAGCTTAGCCCATGTTGCAGCTGAAATTTTGTGGGTGCAATCACTTTTACAAGAGCTCCAAATTCCAGTTAAAGTCCCTGTCATCTACTGTAATAATCAGAGCACAGTTGCTCTTGCTCATAATCCAGTCTTGCACTCTCGAACAAAACATATGGAACTAGATGTTTTCTTTGTCAGAGAAAAAGTTTTGGCTAAGTCTCTTATTGTGCAGCATGTTCCATCTTCCCTACAGGTTGCTGATACCTTCACTAAGCCTATTTCTGCTTCCAGATTTGCAGATCTCAGAGACAAGCTCAAGGTCTTGGATCATGCAATACTGACCAAACCCCCTTGAGCTTGAAAGGGGGAATATTAGAGTAACTCAGTTTATATTCTGTAAAATCAGTTACAACAATGTAACTGACTTGTAGCTATAACAATGTAACTGACTTGTAGTTACAACAATGTAACTGACTTAGTTTTCTGTTAGATTCTAACTCAGTGGGTTAATATTGTATAGTTAATTAACTCACTGAAGTTAGCGTAGTTCAGTAGATCTATAAATAGATTCCTGTGTAATTCTCTATGTACTGTAATCATTTTTCACAATTCTAAATACAGCTTCTTTCAGATTCTCTCTTCCCTTACTTTGATTCTTCGTTTACTTGGCATTTGTTCTTTTAAATGCTTTCTTTTAATTGGCTTTCCATTAATTAAAAATTACTCTTCCCAAATCAACTTTGAATTGTCTAACTTAGATACAAACATTGAATTATTGCTTGTAATTAGTCCTCGTGGGAACGATACTAACTCATCATTTTATTACTTAGAAACGACCGGTATGCTTGCAATGTTCACAACACCGAGTCAAATGACAACATTCCTGAATTCGACTAGCATGCTTTGAACATTTATAGCAAGTATCTAAAACTAATGTCAACACTCAAATTACTAATTATTTTTTAAAACTAACTACTGTTCAAAGGTCTCCAGGAATCGTACAGAGTATTGGTATCCGACACATGTTGTGTATTAGTGCTTCATAGCTATTTAGCATCAACTTTGACTTGAGTTAGATGATTCTCAAAATAAGTGTCCAAATATTTAACAAGAAGCACAAGTCACAATATGAGCATTGGTTAGAAAAACAAAAAAGTAATTTAGTCTTGAACGTCAAGCATTAAATTGGTAAGTTTTTATATATGCACAAAATACAGGCCCCAAGTTTGATTCAATTATACTGTCAACTATAATATAACTATGGAGAGCAATGAGAGCCAAATTAAAAATAAGTTGATTGAGATAGGAATAAAAAAAAAAAAAAAACCTACTTTAATAAAGCATGCCTCAAAAGTCAAAATTCAGAGATAAGTAGTTTTTTACCTAAGTTGACGTTCCATATCATTGAAAAAACAAAATATTTGAGAAATTAAATAATCTGCCACTAGAATTGTATTCTAAATGTAAAGCATAAGAATTTTCAGGGATAAGATAAATGATAACTTCATTCAATCGTAGAATTTTAAAGACAGTTTTCTAATTGTCAAACCTCTATCATTCTAAGTACTACAGAATAAAAACTATCCAGGCTCCTGGAAAGATAAACTAAAAAATTCAAACTTCAACCTCAGTCTTTGTTTTTCCTTTATTTCTTTTTTTCTACTATTTGTTTTCCCTCGTCTTTTCAGGAAAAAAATGCTGGTACCAATTAATATACTTGCAGCAAATAAGCATTACTGCTGCTTATTCTATTCCAGGAAAGAAGGGGAAAAAAAAAAGATGAACTACTTATGTACCAAAGTGTACAGTGTAACAATAACAATGTCAAATATTGTGACAGCAACCTTTTCTATACTTAGAATCTTATGCTCAATAGGTTTCTTGGTAAAAATGAGATTCTACTCGAATTTATCTAGTAAGCAAGAGGATTAACCTTAATAATCTCAAATCAGAGAAAAGTGAGGGGGGGAAGGGGCAGCTTGTAAAGAAATTACAGATACAGTTACTGAGAAAATACCTCCAAAGCTTCCAGGTGGGAATGAGGGTACTGGACTATACGGTACACGAGGCCTAGTATAAAGACCATAATCATACTGTACACCAGAATGTGGCATGGGGGATCCAAACCTGCTTGACACACCATATGGTGGAGGAGGAACCCCAACACCTCCATAGTAGAAGTGGGGATGACTATTGCCATACGGGCTTGTAACTTGGGCAGGCTGTAGAAACGAATCAATTAAGCACTCATCAAAATCAAAAAAATATATGGCGAAAAAATAACATTTTACATATTTAATGCCCATTTTGTTTCATTGAATTAATCTTAACCATGAAGAAGCCAGGTAACCCTTATAATAACAACTCCATACAATGAGAATTAATGCTCAAATACTTTTCAGCATGCATTATACAGCTCAAAAAAAAAAAACTATGTCCAATGCATATGTTATATTCATAAAGAATTATATCCAAATAGCGGTAAGTAAAAAAAAATGTATATGTTGTAGTTCTCATAAAGGTAATGGCTGTGAGGTTCGTCATTTGTAGGGGATTGTGAGATAACAGCAAAGGCAACACTAAAATAACAGCTACCAAGCTTTATACCAATACATGGAATCAGATACAAGATAAAAAAACCACCAAGTGCTCTATTGAAAACCACATTTTCAGAAAGTCCATTTAGATCAAGATCGTTTTTAATGGTTTCTCCTAAAGTGTTTTTTGGTCTTCCTCTAACTCTTTTAATTTGGGTATCTTCCATTTGAGTCACTCTTCTCACTAGAGCCTCCATGGGTCTTCTAAGATGCATGGATATGGGTAAGTGTATCAGATATGACACTGTAAAAAGAAAAAGAAACATGTTTTTTTGTGACATTGTGACAATATAAAGTCAACAAACCAGTCAAAAATAAGAAACACGAAATTAAATATGGTCTACACATTTTGTGTTTTTAAAAAAAAAAATTATTCTTTTGCTCCTATAGGTCATCTGTTTGTATACATCCGGTACACAGGGTTTTGCCCATTGGATGCCTTTTCAAATCAAGTTGGCCATTCACCAAAAGGAAGAAATTCAAATGATAATCTAAATCAAGATGTACTTACTGGAATTACGGATGGTCTTGGAGCACCACAATGTCCCCGATTGCAAACAGTTCTAAAAGAAAAGTTTAAGTTCCCACAATTAGGGCAGGTCCAGTCTCCATCTTTACGCGAAGCTGATTACATGAGAAACAAACATTCTCTTAGAATTGTAATTTAAAAATCAATCAAGCACACTAAATTAGAGTTGCAATTTGACAGCTACTGTGATGCCCATTGTTAGAAATATAATATAAATATAAAGTCATTCACAAATCTCTTGTAAAATGGTATCAGAGCCTCTGTGAACATATGGTCTGGAGTTTGATCCATGCCACCCTCATTCTTCTAATAAATATTAAACTATGGAAATTTTTAACACAAGTAGGTGAGTCTGTGCATTGTCCACCCTTCAACCCCAACGGGCTCTTGTGTGAGGGGTATTAGAAATATAATATAAATGTAAAGCCATTCAAAAATCTCTTGTAACACCCATTACTACAAAACCAAGTTTCCATTATTCTTCTAAATGATCAGCAAAATCATGATGAGAAGAACACTTTTAGAGGCACTACCCTATGTCCCACAATTTATTCACAAAAGAAAATACTAGTCTGGACATAAATCCAGACACTACACATGATCTCCTGTAACTCTCTACACTAAATTGGATGTCTAACCAAAACACACCCAACATGAAAATTTGAAACAATTCACATAGTACATAAAATTAAAAGGGTTGTTCCTCCTCAAATAGTTAAAACCACAAGATTTTTTCCACCCAGATAACAAAATACAATTTTTACATACTTGCTGCAGAAAGCATTAAACACCCAAAAAACGCAAATGATATTTACCATCGTTGCGAGACCTTTTTGATCCAAATGAACCTCGAATACCGTCCTGCAAGAAAATTCACACAACACCCAAAAGGAAAAGGAGGAAAAGAATCAAACTTTGTATTCAGCAAATGAAAAACAGAATCAGACAAAGAAGAAGAAGAAGAGGGCAAGAGGTAGATATGGAATAACTGAATGGAAATGGAAGCAAACCCACCTTGGAAGAAGCCATCAGAAGGACTCAGGGAGCGAGAGAGAGAGAGAGAGAGAGAGAGAGAGAGAGAGAGAGAGAGAGAGAGAAGTGCTGAGTAGAAAGAGTAACAGCTAGAGGACGCGGCGTTCATAGCATTTGATTTTTCCACCCAAAAAAAAAAGTATGAATAATCAAATAACATAACGTGACTTGCTTTTGAAAAATAGGACTGATTTGATTTTTTATATTGACAGTTATATTTATTATCATCTTAACTTTATTATTTTTTGGGTTTATTTTTCTGTAATTAATCCAGATAAGTTATTAAGTCAAATAAGATGTCATTTTCAGTAGAAATTACGATATTTTTGTAATTTTAATTTATTTCATGATTATTATAATTTCTATAATTATAATTTTCTAATATTTCAATTTCAAAACGATGTCATGTTAAAAATAAATACATATAACTTATATGTACTAACTCAGAAATATTTTCTTGTTATTCTTTTTACTTGATTAGTTAATGTTCGATTAATTTGAAATTAACGTTTAAAAAATAAAAAATAATAATTATTGTTAATTTCAAATTGATTCAATAATAACCAACCAAGTAATAAGAATAGTAAACTTAAAATAATAATTAATATAATTTTTCTCTTATTTATATATATAAATTAACGTTAAATTTAGATATGAAAATATGAACAAAAAGAACACGAGCTGTGTCATTTTATTTAAATTATTTTTTGAAAAGATAATATTAAAAATGAGATATGTTATTGTATCTACTTTTTTTTATCTATTTTTATTTATCACTCTCTAATACCATTAGATCATAATCTCAATTATCCATTAAATCAAAAGTAGGCAAGAAAAAATAGGTAGAATAACATGTCTCTTATTATAATTAATAAATGAATATTTTAATATGAAGTTTTTAACTAAACTATAACAAGTTGTTAATTAATTTTATGGGAAGAAATAAAATAAAAAATTATTTCAAAAAATTCAATCGCATTTTGCAAGCAATTTAAACGCACTTTTTCATTAATCATTTCATCATTTCCATGATTTTTAATTGGGAATTGTTTTTCTTATTTAACATAACAGAAAAATAATTTTCTACACACACATGAAAGAGAGAAGAGAGATAATAAGGGACAGACAAAAAAATTAAGTGGGTACCATATTCAATTTGTATCTAGTGCATAAAATAATAATTTCATGTAACATGATATTATTATTTCCCTTTTTAATTTTATGTCTTACCCCTGAAATTATTTGTAAAATGGAAAGACGAGTGTGTAAGATTCATAAATAGACACATTAAATATGGATCGTATAGTATAACATGATTTTTTATTTGAGGTTAATGTCTTTCATTTTATATGAAATAAAATTATTTTCAAATACACATATAAAAATATGTAGAGCTCGGCCATGCAAGAAGAGAAAAAGAAAAAAAAAAGACTCATTATATTTTTATGTATATATAGAAGATAAAATTATCTCTAATAATAAAAGAACCACTAAACCCTTGTTATTCTGTGTCTTATCCCTAAAATTTGATTTGAGACCAAAGATATTTGAGAATATAAAAAACAATTATACTTTTGCATTAAATCACTCTACATTAATAGCTGTTTATTATCACATTCATCAAAATTGAACAACCTCAATCCCACTAAATCACTTTTAATTTTATTTTCATTAGCATTAATGATAAATAAAATTGCATAAATTTTTAACTAAGTGAATTAATTATATTAAGTAAATTAATAATGAATCGAATCTAATTTAATGACATGGAAAGGGGTTTTGCACAAGGTTAAACCCTGCTTCCACGTGGCAGCGAAGACATGCATACTTGAATTAGAGGGTTAATGTGTTTCTTCTATTATAGGTGTTGGGTATTGATTTTGATTATAACAAACAAGTTAGGTCATGTCATCTAACAATGTTTCTTGAGTTTTTAAAAATTTGTTATAGGATTTAACAGAATTATGAAGAAATGATTGTAATAAAATATTCATAACAATGTAAAGATAAGATTAAATCTTAGATTTCATATATGAGTTGATGAGTAAATCATAATCATGCCTTCAGTTATATTATTTTAAAGTTTTTAAAATTATAGAAGGAAGATATAATTTTTAATTTTAAAAAGAAAAAATAATTTGATAAATTCTCACAAAATACTTACTTTTTTCTAATAAAAAACTTGAGAAATGATTCTGCCTACGTACTATATGATTTGGCCGAGGTTTTTGGGGCGGAGGATTTTGTGTGCTTTATGGGATTAGGTAACCAATGTATGGAATGTGATCAATCCAACTCAAATCGGGCTGGGCTTGATCACTCACAGTTGAAGTGAAGGATGTTGATGAAGAGAAAAAGAGGTGGCAAGGAAGCTTGCCGAGATGTTGAGTGGTTTCGCGAAATGGCTGATCAACACTTTGTGTATCTGGGCAATTTGCGAGCGATCGGGGGTACCTGCAAAGGCACTCCAATGCTTAAGTCAGTTCAGTATTCAAGGAGGTTCAAGTATTCAAAAAGAAATATCATATCTGGGCTAAATGCCTTTGTATTTATAGTATTGAGTGCCTTGTTTCATATCGTCTTTCGTAGGGTTCAGGTGGTGGCCAATTTGTCTCAGCTGCTGATCTTGACAATGATGGTTACTTTTAGGTTAAGTCACGTTGGCTTGCTAGTCAAGGAAGCGAGATCCTATGCTTTCTACATGGGATGGGTTGCCTTTGTAACAAGTTACATGGGTTTCTGGGTCGTTTGGGCCTTTATGGGATTGGACCTTTATCTCGCATGTAGTAGGTCTAGATCATAAGTCCCCCAACTTGCTACTTATATTGTTGGCATAAGGAGAGAGAAGTATTCTTTATGCAGGATGTTCATTCACTTGTGGCAAGATACAACCACATATTCACAATTTTGCACTTGAGTGGGTTTGGTAATCCACATTTTGCCGCTTAAGAGAGAGTTGATGTGATTTTAAATAGTCAAAAGCATTAAATGTAGCTTTCATTACATGTGGGTTAATGTATTAACCTTTTGGTCTCCTGCTGCCGCATGTCCCACTCATTTATTTTACTATTTTATCTTTGTGTGCTTTTACGCATATACCTTCTGGCTACTTTTCATATGTTAACCTTGAGGATTTTGGAGGGAACAGTTATGTTTCGCTGCTTTGTGTTTTTTTCTCCTCTAATATTGCTCTCTTTTCTTCCATAGTTGCTCTCCCTTACTTCCCTTGCTAATTTGTTTTTGTGACACACTTGTAAGTGAATAAGTTGTTTTAGTGTTCCTGTGCTTCGAAGAGCTTCATCGAACTTCAATATACCTCAAGTATAAATACCATGTACTTTCTTTCTATTGTTTCTTCATTCGCTTGCTTTTCTGGAAATTTGAGTGTTGAAACTTTGTAGTCTTTTGCATTTGTTACTTTCATTTACTGTGTGTAGTAGTTTGTTCATTCTGGGTATTTTTTCATTTCTGATTTTGTTTTTGTGAGGAGTTTACCACCCATTTGAGAGAATGTCTATTGAACACCTTTTTTCGGCATATTTTTAGAATGATGGAGAGGTCAGGTTCGACTGGTCCAGAACCTAGGCCACCACCTAGGTCTAGTGCTACTAAGTCTCTCAGTACTGGAGAATGGTGGTTAACTGGAGAAACAATTTCTCCATGGGAGAAAGGATTTCTCCATGGGAGAAAGCTGAAATGCTTGGGACTTTTCTCCCTTCACTAAGAGGGTATGGAGGGGGTTCTTCTTCTCGAGGCTCTAGGATAAAGCTTAATCCCGTGGGAGCCATAAGGAATCTCACAAGCTGCCCAGGATTCAATCCCAACAAAGCAATATACATGAGCGAGTTGGTCCTAATACTCATATTCTCTCATCTTCGAAAATCCTATCGTCATTTTCAGTAGTTCAACATCTGAGTCGAGTCCCCATTCTGCTTCCAAAGCATCTCGCAGTTCTAGTCCTGTTCCTCAAAGTCTTAGTCTTATTCCTTTAAATGTTGTCTATACCATTGGTTTTCTCTTTAAAAAATGTAGGATAGGCAAGATGCCTGCTAGTTCATTTTTTAGCTCATCTTCTGATTCTTCTGATACTTATTCCACTTCTTCCTCTCTCAGAGATGTCATGAGTCATCGTCGATTTCCAGAGAAGAGTACTTTGCGAGATGCATATAGTCTCGCGTGGGTATGTAACGATGCAAAAAGGGTGGTTTCAAAATATCATACCACTGGGTCCATTGCAGAGCTTTCTGCCTTCATTCACCTTACACAAGATAAAGCCATTAACCATGAGTGGCAGATTTCCCCTATTCCCCCGAATGAGCGCGTTTGTTCATCTCGCGTGGATGATAGGTTCAAACACTTTTTGATGATGTACAACTTCTTCTTCCTTACTTTAGGTGTTCGTTTTCCTTTCTCTTCTTTCGTCAATAATCTTTTATATCAGATTTATATCGCCCCCTCACAACTACATCCCAATGTGTGGGGCTTTATTCATGTCTACGAGATGTTATGCAAAGCATATATTCTTTTTCCTTCTGTTTAATCATTTTTATGTCTATATAAAGTGTATGGAGCTCATAAGAGTTGGGTTTCCTTTAGAAAGAACCTAGCCTTCAATTTTTGTGAGGCATATTCAAACAAAATTCATTCCTGGAAGGAGGATTATTTCAAGGTGTATCCCGCATGGGATTGTCATCCTTTCTTTCTAGATTATGAGGACGACGCCCCCTCTTTAATTTTTTATTAGTGCAATGACCCAGAAGATTTTCATAAGTTGAGTTACGAGAATAATGACTTGGGCAGGCCTGAGAGGATGACTGTAACTAAATTATGCGACATTGCTTACAACTCCTCGGATGGTGATTTGTTGAGCGCGTATACCATCCTCTCAAAATATATTGCTAATGATAAGAAGGTCTTCCTTGGTAGGAATCTGATATGCATGTAGCATTCATTTGTGATCTCGCACTTTATTTTTTGACTACATTTTTTCTAGTCGTGCTATAATGCCTTATTTTTTATTTTTTGCAGATAGCGAGATGTTGAGCAGGTTGGAAATAATGGAACTTTTGGCAAAGAAAATA